TTTTTGGAGCATTAAAGATTTATTAGAACTAATCATCATTATAAAATTTATTAGAACTATCATATTTGAAAATATGATAATTTCAAAAAACAATAATAAAATATTGGAAAATATAAAATATCAAGAGCGAATATACGGTTAAAAAATATTATAGCCATATAATCCGATATGTAAAACACAATAAAATATAAAATTGAACATTTTATAATGAATAGTCAAAATATCGTTCATAAATAAAAATTTAACCTTCTATGAATTTTGTTTTGTGTTAGGGATTAGATCTCAATGGTAAAGCTGCTCTATTCAATCAATTTTAAGATGCTTCATATAGGTTTTTATTTTCTGTAATGAAGGATAGGTCCTCTCATTTGTGCTTTTACTAATTGGTATTATTGCCAAATATACTGTAATTTTAATATATTTGGAAAACTTATAAATTATATTTTAAAGTTAATGTTTTCACTGTATTTCTCGGAGGATTATCTACAAAAATAAATTTTTCATACCATTTAAATTCTGAAATTAATTGGCCTTCAGATACGTTTATACCTTATGAATAGCTAAATATTTAATATTTCAATATCATATTTGAAAATTGATAGAACCAGATTATAAATCACAAATGGTTCATTGATTTGAGTCAAAATTAAATCCAAGAGTAAAATAAAAACGATTATTTATAGTAATTCTCAATTTAGTTTTAGTTAATATAGGAAATATTTGTTTGTCGATGAAAGTAGAGTTTGTGAATCTCAAGATCATATAATTTCCCTTTCACTTCAACATTCACATAAATCTCGAAAAATTCTTAGTCGATATTATTTCTTGGTTTTCTAAGTTGTAATATAATAATATTTGTGATTCTCATAACTTCAGCCAAATCCATTTTTTTGAAAAATATTGCATGAAAAAAATCGGCACCCATATTAAAACTAATTATGTATCAGTTTCACATGTAACATCTGTTTCAGGTGATTCTGATATTTCTCTAAGGGCAAACAAAATAGACTCTTCCTAGATTTAAAAAAGGCGGTAACAACTTGATGTCGAAGGCTCCATTTCGTGCAAGCTTTTTGCAGTTTCCTTTTCCTCTAGTACACTAGAAATAATTATATTCAGCAAATTCTGTCTATTTGTTTATCTGAATATTTTATACACTATAAATTTTCTACTCATAGTTATTAGTAGAGATAAATTAAATATAATTTTTTTTTTGGTTGAAAAAATTTTCTTATATCCATCAGTGTTTAAGGTTTAGAAAATGTAAGAAAATAATTTTTATTTTTGTGAAATAAAATATTAATATACAAGAAATTAATATTTAAATTAATTTCAACTTTTTGATAATATTTAGAATAGAATAACCCATCTGAAATAGAATACTTTATAATTCACAATTCATGGAGCCCTTTATATTTTTCAAAAATTCTTGCAAGGGGGAGGGGTGGATTTCTTTCTTTCCCACCCACCAAACGGCTATGCGCATGAACCCTTTTATATTTTTTTCAAAAAATTTTGATACAGGGGGATCCCTCTTGCTGGCTACGCACCTGCAGAGGCGTAACTAACATCTCCAATCTCTAAATGTAACCTGGTTATTATTTACAGAATCTGAACCGAACCGTCAATATTTTTGTCACACAAATCTAACCAGAATCTCTAAAAATTTCTGTGAAACGGATTTCAGTCTTTTGATATCATAACTTAAAATTTATCAATTGATTTATAAATATCAGTAGCCATTTTTGATATTTTTCTATATTGCTATTTGGCAGTACCAGTTATCCAAGTTACGTATAGAAATGTTCTCTGTCGTTGAATTTATTCTTTCTCCTTTATAGATATAATTTAATAGAAAATATGTTAAATGCATATGACTCAGTATTCTTTTTTTCAGAGAAAAGTGATAAATTAAAATAAATAAAATGTGCTTTTTCTTTACATGATATATAATAACTTTAATATTAAAAAGGTTCGAACCAGCTTCACGAAATGAAAATTGAACCATAAACAGCCATTTTTATCAGAATCAAAACCAGAACTGATATTTTTTATGAGTCGGATACCATTACAACTCAAGGGATAATTTTTTAAATACAAAAAAACTGCATAAAAGAGTTTTAAATGTTTTTTTAACTAGCTATTTTATGAATGATGTATTTTTTTTAAATTATATTTCCTCCAGTCATTTCAGAGATACGAGAAAAATTAAAAAGTGATTCTTTATTTCCTTCTGAGTCGATTTCTTTTTTATAATTCATATATTAAATTTTTTTATCAATTTTAAATCATTTTCCGAGGACGATTTTGAAACTTGAAAAATCTGAGAAAATATTGAGTGACCCACACTATAAATTTCAAACAATTTTGACTTATATTTTTTTACTATTCCTAATTTATATTTTTACGCTCACATTTATAGTGAAAGCGTTATCTTCAAGCTTTGCATGTCATAAATCAGCGTTATTATAGTTAAGTCAGTTTTAAAAATTTATTTAATATAAGCTAAAATAGAGATAATTATTTTATAATGCTATTATTTTTATAATCGTATCGCATATTTTTTATCAATGCATCGCAACATACGTTTTTCAAATTTATACCTATTTATTGGCCTTAAATAGCTCAGTACGCGTTTACTATAAATGCGGTCTTATAAAGATATAATTTTTTTTATTTAAAAAAAATATAACAGGCCAGGTGACTATACATAATTAGGGAAGAATATTTCTGCCAAAATCATTTTTCTTTCAAAATATCACAAGTAATATTAAAATTAAAAATAAAGTATGATTCAGAATAGTAAAATATTTTTTTAAAAATTGTTAGTTATCCTAATTCGTAATGAATAAAAATGCAATTGCTTAGGCAAAATAGATATTACAATGGGTTGGCAAAGATAAAAGGCATTATAGGTTTATTGCCGATATCACTTAGAAATTTTGACGTTTACTATAAAATAATGATAAATTATAAGATTGCATTTATTTATTTTGGGCGTTTCAGAGAATGCTAAGGCTGGTAAAAATAGCAAATTAATTGATGATATACATAATGTCATCCGAGAGGTTTTTAACCATTAGACCGGATATTCCGATTTCTTCTTGAATTTGGTAGGGTCTGGGATTGAAAGCATGTACTTTTCTTAAAATAAATGCATAGTATTGATACTAATCTATTCTTATGATAGAAGTAGCTTCCCTTAAAAATATATTATGTAAGGGTGGTGGAGGATTTTTAATATCAACAATGTAACAGTAGATATATATATATATAGGCAAATGGAATTAAAAGAGAAACTCGAAACGTAAATAAATAGCTTATTCGATGTTTCTATGTTGATGGGTCTAGACTTGAAGGAATTATTCCAAGGCTCGATTTTTAAATTCGGCTAACTCAATATTTCCGCCAAAAGTAGTGCTTAAGCCTCAAGATTTCGCAAATAGATGTCAAAACCTTTGGGCCATCTATCAGAAAATATTTAAGCATGCGCAATATTTTTCTGGATAAAATATTGAATTAGCCGATTTTAAAATTGGCTCAAATTGAGTTGCTTAACAATACTAGTTTCAAGGTATTTTTTCCCAGCCTATTTTGAAATATTAAATTACCTGCTTGTTTTTTCTAATGACCAGCTTTAGTATAATGAATCAATGATTTTGTTCCTTTGTCGAATCAAAGAGATTATTCCACTACAAATTGGAATAAAAAAGGACTATTTTCGAATATTTATAAACCAAATAGAAGTATGTTCTGAGCATTTTTAAAGATGAACATTATTGGTCTAGTTCTATTAGTTCCGGGTATATAAGTGTTTTAAGTGTTCATGTTGCTCAATTTTGCAATATTATATTAAAATAGATGTGTCATTAATATTTCTTAAAGACATCCATTTTACAAAAGATTTCGTTGAAGTAAAAAATTGGTTTTAAAATTATTTTATTTCCTTCCAATTTTTAAATGGCACCATGCAAAATATGCTTACACATATAGATTTCACTAGAATTTAAATATCAACAATGCTCTCCAGTGCTCCAAGTCAGGCCTGAAAATTAAAAAAAATATCCTCAGGTCCGATTTTCTCAATTTTATATAATCAACCCGTCCCGGTAATTATAAAATTTTGGTAATTTAAAAAAAGATTAGCTATATTTTAAATAATTTAAGCCGTATATTTTATGAAGAATTTCAAAGGGAAAATCATTTATTCGAGAAGCGATACTTTGCATATACTCGAAAAAAAGAATTAGGACTAAGAAAAAATTAATTAATTAATGATCAGCAGTGGAAGGGTTTTAGCTTTAAAAAAATTTAATCATTTGGCGGGCGGGTGAATTTCGAAATATCCGCGAGTGGGTTCAAAAGCAGCGTTGCGCATTTTGTGACTGGGTTTAAGTTAAAGCTGTGCCAATCCATAAATTTTTCAACGATATGATTCTGATATTTATATTGATTTTTATTTACCATCCATCTTTGAACCAATGTCATAAAAATATCAATATCTTCTATTCAAAAAAAACTAACTTTCACGAATGATAAAGTGTATTTTTCATTCTCCTATAATCTCATTTAAAATATGTGCAATGTTTATTGGCTAAACAGCTCCATTTCGCTGATTTTTAAAAAGGGCTAAATCAAGATTTTAGTCAAAATTATATTATCTAAGCCTCGAAATTTCGCCAATGAAAGTTAAAATCTTCCAGCCATATGTGGGCAAAATAAATAAGCTTGAGCCTTTTATGGCCAAAATATTGAGTTAAACCGTTTTTAAAAATTGGCTAAATCGAGCCGTTTAATAAGATTAGCTAAATGTGACTCGCTGCAGATATTATAACAAAAATTACCGCTAACTTTTTAACTACTCTTTTTAAACATAACAACAAATAAATTGTATTTTAGTTCCTTTTATTAATTTATTATTTATGAAATTATTTATAAAATAAAAAAAATAGTATAATTATATATTACAATCATAGAATAACCAAAAACAATTAAAAAAATCGGTGCCGATTTGATATTTAATATCGGCACAATCCTAGTTAAGGTAATCATTAAAAAGATTTGATACAGGTATGATTTTCATTTTGTGTACAAAATACTTTAAGGTCGTATAATTAATATAAATATTGTTAATAATCAGGCTAATTTTATGATCATAGATGACTTCGGACATTCTCAAAATGTATTTAGCTGCTTTAATGTACTTACAGAGGTAACCGGTAACCTAATACTTGTAATTTACCATTATATTACTTATATTGTCTTATCATAAGTAGGTTTGCACTTTTTTTTGTAAAATTCAATAAGTCATATTTTGTATTTTAAAAAAATATAATTTATAAATTAAATCAATCACAGAATATCTTAATTTTTTAAAAAAAAATTTATTGTAATAAATAATGTGAAACAAATATTATAATATAATTCAATGTTCCTAATAAAATATATTATTAATAATATATAAAAGATTGCATTTATTTACAATTATAATAAAAAAATTCTCTCTTAATCTTGTTAAACGAATAATTACCTAAATTATAATTATGTTTTACCATTACGTAAAAAATATTTTATAACATAATGATTCATAATATTATTTCAAAGGCGAATATATTCAAACTTATCGCACCTTATTTGTGATTCGATAACAGGAAAGGGCTTGCATAAATCTTCTAATTTATCATGTAATTGTTAAAATGATAAGGAGGAAATTATAATAGACTTTACCGATTTTAAAATTTCGAATATTGAGTGGATTTATGTTTCTTAGAAGAACAAGGAAAAAATACAATCAATCAAGGCGATTTCAAAAGTCGTTATCAAGATGCCCATTTTTTTTGTTTAAAATAGCCTTAATATAAATTTTCGTCGGTAAATAAAAACTAATTCGCTTTCTTTTCAAAATTAATATACAAGTTTAGAAATTATAAAAAGTGCAAATTAACAAGTAATCCAATTTTTAAACCGGGAAAACTTCGAAAAATATTTTTTTTATATAAAATGCTTGAAAATTGTTCTTACCCTATATTTATATATATATTATAAATTTATATAAAATTAAATTTTAAGAGTAAAAAATTTGTTACAATAGGTGATTTCAACTTTTTATTTAAATATCAAAGTTATGAAGGAAGAAATGAATTGATAGTCACGTGGTTCTGCACTGAACGGTAGTAGTACTGAAAGTGTCCTCGCTACCTTCCCTGTCATTATCATTCTCTTCCACTTCGCCAAAATTTTCTTGGCTCACGCCTTCATGATGCCCTTCATAATTAAAATCCTCGAAAATTCCTATGGTTTTGAAAGATTAATAAATAATATAAATAATAGTCAGAACAGGATAAAAATAAATCGTGTTTGACAAAAATATTACTTTCTATATTGATGTTTTTTCATCTAAATGTGTAACAATGCGAAACCAGCTGGTGCTGTCATTTTGGTTTATGTAATTATACTTATATGGGAAAGCAAAATGGCGTCAACAGCTGATTTGTATTCAACGACGCTTCAAAATTCATTTTAATGAATGAATCTTCAGCCTATGTAAATATTATATGTTATTGGTGTTTTTAAATAATCGAAAAATAATCATCTAAATTTGGTTTTGATTTTTCGAAATTCGGAATTTTTTGTTTCTCCAGCATCCAATATTAAAATATTATATTAAAATAAAATTGGCGTTATATTTGATTGCCGCGCATTGATCCGTAATTCTCATCAAATTGAGAGGACATGCATGGGTGTCTATGAGTGAAACCCTCCACGATTCTTGGTTTGATCTGTCTATAGGAAGCATTTCAAAAGACAGGGAAACAAGTATGAGATTAGATAAAATTAACTGCATTATATTATGGAGGGTGTGCTGGCTAAAAAAAATTGTTAGTATCCCCCCTACCAAGCATTAAATAGCGGGGCTTACACTAAACCCTAAAAAATGTGAATTATATAGTACCTGATATTTTTCTATAGTCAAAAAATCTAGTTGCATCTCTAAACTCCCCATTGGTAGGCAAAGCAACAATATCTGAAATTTACCGACGATTTGAACAAATTCTACCGAATTAAACTAGGTTTTATTTTTATACCATTTCAACCATTCATTTTTATTTTGTAAAAAATTCCTATACATTCCAAAAATATTGCTTACCTTTCGTTCTGCTCCTCTATTCCAGCTGGAACAAGTCACGATATCTCTTAAAACAATTAAACCTCAAATTCTCATTCTATTCCTGGATGCAAGCTGCTCTCCTAATAAAATTCGAAAGTATAGGCTTTCGATCCCCTGCTAAACCTGAACATTGCAGCTTTACTCTCGTCAAACACTAAAAGTCAACTAATTATCAACACATTTATCACCACCACAGATCCCCGCCAAACGATGGCTCTAGATCAATGGATGGCAAACGCTCCCTAGCCTTTATTTTCCAGTCAACAAAACTGGGGCAGTGTTAATATAGGTTAGAAAGAGTGAGGTGCATTTATGCTTCTTTTCTAGGCATTGAGTGCTGGAATGACTATGGTATATCAAAAAAATGTTGAAATAACCTTTTATTATGTAAAAGCTATAAAAATATGAGATTAATTTTAGTTTATGTTGATTTATCATTGGCGTAATAAATTATTTTTTGGTATTTTTTTCTCTGTGCTATCCTGTAATTAACTCTAAAATATTTAAGGGTGCCAACTAAATAGACAACTTATAAAATACACGCAGGGAAATATTAAATTAGTTAACCTCAAATGAGGTAAATCTGCAAATTTTAACCTATACAGTATATTCAATAGTGATAAAAGCTAATAAGTCACAAAGAGTCAAAATCAATTAAATGATACGCCTGCCCAATAAAGTATCAAAAATTCTAGCAAAATTCCAATCACACCAATGTTGTCATCAACAGCAAAGTAAGAATCCACCGATCCAAAAATCAAAAATAGAAGAGTAAAAAAAAATAGAAAGAAAAATAATCGAAATAACAGAGTATAAAAATTATTCAGCATTTGCACTCATTTCAATGATACATTTTTTGACCTCTTGAAAATATCGCAAAGATAAAACCAGAAATCTAAATATTTTATGTAATACTTTTCCTATCTCTCATTGATATTCCAGAGAGCTGCTGTTCCCGTATATATTATCATAATATAATAATTCCATATTTTAAAAAAAATTAAAATTATTGATAAGAAAAACTAAATAAATCAGTTTCTTGGTCAACTCTTTCCTCCATACTCATCCTTGGTACGGAATTGTTTTTTTCTTCTAAAAAACTCTAACCAGCAATATATTTAAAAACAACGAGCCTGACTGGTTTGCTAAAGAATCGTGGGTGGTTCCACTAGGGTACCCCTACTAACTCTCCAAAATTTAGTGGAAATGTTGGATAGCTCTGATGGCAATTTACAGCAATAAAGCGTCTTTTATGACTTAAGATTATAAAGTAATCATAAATTGGGTTTATTTATTATTCCCAATTACTCTCATATAAAATTTAATGTATAACCTAAGGATGAATTAAAATTGGAGTCGGCGGGGAGTGGGTTAAGATTGGAGGCAGAAGGGGGGTTAACCCGGTAACCCATATTCATTAGCATGACTTCTATAGGATCCGCGTTCATCCGTTTTTGATTCGAGGCCGCTGTTTCTTCATTATTTTTCGCGTTTTCAACTTCGTAGGCTACGGAGTTATAATTATCAGAGATCTAATATTTTTTAAAAAAAATTTAAAAAACGTGCGTTTTAAATGATTTGTCCTACAGATTTACTAAAAAATCAGATTTGATAAACCTTTAAAACATTCAAATTATAATCAGGACGAATTTCACAAATTTAACCTCGGGCCCAGGACTCCACAGGCGTATATGAGGGTCAATGCCGCTCGTGGCCAGGAGACATTCCACTGGATTCGGTTGCAAGCAATTGACGATAGCTTCATCGCCCACCAAAACCTTGCATATATTAGTACTAGCTTTGTCCCAAACGAAATAGTAACCATCGTCAGATCCGGCAACTATAAACTGACCCTCGCTAATTAGAAAGATAGGTGGGGGGGGGGGTATAAACATCAAAAAGGACGGATAAAGATAAATGTTGCAAAATTAAACTTGTAAATTGGAGGTTTAAACTCAATATTCATGTCAAAATTTACATATCCTTCTTCTAAATGCTGTTAAATATACATAAAAATGTTTCCTTCAGAATATTTTATCGTAATTTCTTAGATAATTAAAATAAATTACTTACATATTTTCTTATTTCAAGTGTTATATATCAAATGAGATAACTAGTAAGTACATTTTAAATTTCTATAAAAATACATAATTACATTATTTAATTTATCATTTTTTTATATTGAAATTCTGTGTATTGATCAAATTGATGATCACTATTTAAAAAAATGTTTAAAAGTTGAAAAATATTTATAGGGGAAATGTATGGGGAAGAACAGATAAAATTCCCCATAAGAGTTACTATATGAAGCCTTTAGTACAAATGGCATAATTAAGAATGGTGAGACATATGGTGAAGGTGAGAGCTAGTGTTGTTAAACAGCTCAATTTAAGCCGACTTTTAAAAGAGGCTAACTCAATATTTTATCCCGAAAAATATTTTGCAAGCCTGAAGTCTGCTCATAGATGGAATGAGTTTAGACATCTATTCGCGAATCTCTGGGTTTAGGCAATATTTATCTTGGCTAAAATATTTAGTTAGCAGTTTTTAAAAATCGCTAAAAACGAGCCGTTTATAACACTATTGAAAGCTATAAATGGGGTGAAAGTTAAGAGAGCACTTATTTATTTTTGTGAACTCTTACTGTAAAGTTGAATTAAGATTAGGAGAAAAAACATTAACAAAGGAAAGATCTTATGCATTAGTTTTTTGTTCTCCTAATCGAGAAGTATAATACCTTAATTAAGAAGAGCAAGTTTGTTATGGGGGATATGGGGGGGGGGTCGATATGATTCGGGAACCTTTAAGGATTAGATATTTTGACGAAAGATAATTAACATTCTCATGGCGCAGTCGTTGATGATATTTTTGAACAAGTGAGGCCATGTGACCGAGAAAATTTACAACTCTCCCACAAGTCTTCAGTTACCACTTTACATCTAATCGAAATGTAAATACCACTGAACTGTCATTGCTGAAAAGAAGACTTTAATGGAAGAAAAGTGCATCAAGTCATACGTGGTCATTTTAATAACTTTGGTACCTCTTAGTAGTTGAAGATCAAACACACCAGGAGTTGAAGATAAGCAATAAAAATTTCTTTGCGAAAGAGGGTCACAAATTATTTTTTGGCAAAAGCGAAAAGAAATTGCGCATTTAAAGGGGTTCCAGCTGATTAAATTTACTGAGCATGTCTACGAGGTTATCAGGCAACTTGATTGACGTAAATATGACGAAAACGATAAATGTGATGAAAGAAGGCTTGAGATAACTATAGCCATGAGAATGTCATTCATCTATTTTCAAAAAAATTTTTGCAGAAATTTCAAACCGTTTCGAACGCCCCCAAATTTTTCTCTTTTAGGCCATCAAAGCATGCTACAAGGCCATCAAAGCATGCTACAAGGCCATCAAAGCATGCTACAAGGCCATCAAAGCATGCTACACTTATTGGCAAGGTTAGGCAAATACGTTTTAAAGTATGGTCAATAAGTGTGGTAATAATAACCTCCCGAAAAAGTTGGCTTCCTTGATATCGGTAGTGGTATTGCAATGGCCGCAATACCTGAGCTTGTAGTCTCTCGCGTACTTTTTCCAAGCCCGATCCTTAAATCTTGGGTTACTTGAAGCGGCCAGACTGGAAGGCCGGTCGGACTCTATTGAAATCTTTGGAGGTTCTTTTTTGGACTTTTTAGCGACTCCTACATACAGGTTATAGTAAATGGATTTAGATTATGATTTGAAAATATTATATAAATAATGAGCTAATTGGTATTTTAGTAATGTATAATGGAAATGTACATTTGAAAATTAATCCGGAAAAAAATTCGTAGCGAATTTCATTTCATATAAAAAAAATAAAACCGTTTTTATCGGACTTTAACTTTTGATCATTGACATGAAACTCCTTAGCTGCTATGTGGCTTTCCAGGATTCTAAAAGCGGAAGCGACAGCCCTATAATGTCCACTGATATCTCCCTCATTCTCAACCTTTTCGTTGTCGTCACCACGTGCGTAATTATTAATAGGAAAGAGTTTTTTGAAACGTTCCAAGCACATTCTACTCTCCTTAACCAAATCGAGTTCCATCAAGCATTTGATAAACCGGAAACGAGCCTTGATGTTTAAAGGTTCAAGTCTCAAGGCTTGGAAACAGTCCAACATGGCCGCATAATTATCCCCGTCCCTTTGTTGCGATAGGGGTCAATATTTTTGGAATAAAGATTCAATAAAGTTTGTTTATAATAACTTAAAAAAATTTTTTAAAAAAATAACATGACGAAATATCTTTTAAAATGGTAAAATAAAATCGAGGTGTACAAAAAAATCGAGAACTTTTCCTACAATTCTTTAAAAATATTTTCAAAAATAAAATAAAATAAAAACGGACTATTAAAATATTTTAAAAAAGTGGTACGTTAAAAATCCTTATAGGTAATTTCAAATATTTACAAATAAAATAATATTCGACTAATAATACTTTTCTTATTCGTATTCTATTAAAAATTTCGAATAGAATAATTTTTTATTCGTACTCGTAAAATACAAATCGAATAACGAATAATTCATTTTAGATATAGATTCGAATCTAATCTGTTTTAAATATCAACTAGTTAATTAGATTAAGTGGCCTATATTAATTTATAAACAAATTATTTAAAAATACAAAAAAAGAATATATTAACCAAAAAAATAAAAACTATTTGTATTATAAATTTCTTCCGACATTTATATAACATCACATTCGCATACTAAACAATTTTATATAAATCGTTTATTCAAATAAATTCCTCAAAATAACATATTCAAATTTTTTCTTTATCCTTTACTTCCAACACCCCTTCTCTTAGATACCTCCTTCTAGGGAACTCGTAGACTGACTATAAGAATTCTTACCGTTCGGTCGTATCTTCGTGGAGTCTCCATTATCATATCAAATAACATTTCTCCATATAATCATTAGCTTCTTCCCTTGCTAACCTTAACCAGTTCCTTGAGTTCATTCATCCATCTATTGGACATATTTTTATACGAACGATATAATTTCCCACTCGAGTATAAATAGGCATCTAGAAAAAATTACTATTACATATAAAGTTAACCCTTCCCTTCGATTATTCCTCTATCATATAGTCTTTCGTTCCGTTTTTTAATAAAAACATCAAACTCTATGATTTTAAATCAAATTTTGCTTTCATCCCAAAATTTCGTCTTTCCAAAAAAAAAACTTTTATTCTTGTTTAAATAACTCTCTATTCTCGGTCCAATCTTTTTCACATGTCTCGGCTATGTACCTCACTGGTCTTCAATTTTTACCTCAATTTTCTTTCTTCCTATATTTTTACTTAATACACCCTTCCCCCGTTTAATAGACCCATCAAACAACAATATCCAATCAAGACTTCCTATGAAATTTCTTAACATTTATTTGTTCTCTCGGTGTTACCTTTTCCTTTAGAAAATCTAATTCAGATCTCGTTTTTATTCTTAAAAATATTTCAGCTGGAGTTCCTTAGACGTCTTAGTATAGTATGCTAACAACGATAACCACCATTTTCCCTTTTTTAACCAACTCTTATCTATCGGTGGTATATTAAGGAAAAATATAGGAAGAACGAAAGTTGAGGTAGAAATTGAAGAGTAGCGAGGTACATGGTCGAGACATGTAAAATAGATACGACCAAGAATAGAGAGAAATTTAATCTGAAAGATGAAATTTTGGGATGAAAGCAAAATTTGATGTTATTAAAAAAAGAAATGTTGAGATGAATGCATAATCATAGAGTTTGATGTTTTTATTGAAGACTATAAGACATAGGAATATTCGAAGGGAAGGGTTATTATATGTAATAGGAATTTATTTAGATGTCTAATTATACTCGAGTGGGAAATTATATCGTTCGTATAGAAATATGTCCAGTATATGGACCACTCAAGGAACTGGTTAAGGTTAGCAAGGGAAGAAGCTATTAGACTATATGGAGAAATGTTAAATGATATGAGAATGGAGATTCCACGAAGGTACGACCGAAGTACGAATGGTTCCTTATGGTAAGCCTAGACCAAGACAATGTTGGGCTTGTGAGGGTGATCATCTGAGATAATGTCCGAATCAAGTCATGACCGTCAATAATGAGACCATGATGATACAGATGAGGTTCCAAGATTGTTAAATCAAGTTCTTAGATGGAGGTATTTATATAATACAATTAATTATTGTTTTTTGATTAATATATTCTTTTTTAAATTTTTAAATTAAATAAATGAATATAGTTCTATTAATCTAGTTAATTAGTTGATATTTAAAACACACTCCAAATTTTTTTTTAATGTGTCAGAGTTATATTTTTTTAAATTTGAACCGTTAAAAAAGTAGGATATTTTAAAATAGAAAAAGAAATTATAAGCCCTCGGAAGGATACTTAAACAATTTGTTGTGATTATTCTTGAAATTAATTATTCATAAAAAAGAACATTTGGGAAAACAAAATAAAAATTTTGTCGAACTCCCATTCCGACATGAGATCCAAATCCCACCGCTTCCGAAAAAATGTCTGCCCGAGCCAATCAACCAGAGTTAGGTTGCATCGGTCAATTCAGGGCTTGAAAAATTTGCCATTGTAATTTTTTTATATAAAAAACGCAAAAAATTCAATTTTTTATATTTAAATTAAATCAAGTTTTATTAGTATTAAATAAAAATATTTAATAATTTTATATCCCGGAAAAATGTAACATCAAACATAAAATTATAAAATTGAACATGTTTTGTTATTTTAAATTACGGAATAGATCAACTTATTACATATAAACATCTGTTTTTCTGTATTTATGAATAAATTATTGTGCTATAGATTAAAAAGTACTTTATCTTATATATTAATATTTAGGCCCATTTTTACTAATTTTAATACTTTATAAATTAAAAAATTTAATATTAACAATGTTTGATTATTATAATTAAACTATGGGTTTTAACCCCAACCCCCCCCCCCCCCCGTTTACGCCACTTAAATAACATTTTATTTTTATATATAAAAAAATCTAAAATTAAAAGTAAAATAATTTTTATATAAAGTAGCATTAAAATAATTTTATTATATAAACTGGATGAATTATTAATTTTCTTAGTATTAAAATCAGAGACCTGCAGGCCCGGCCCTAAACCCGGCCCAGGCAGGGCCGGGCCGCATTTTAAATTTTTTAAATATACCCGGGCCGGGTTTAAAAAAATTTTAAACATATCCGGGCCGGGCCTAAAAATTTTTTTTTAAATATATCCGGGCCGGGCCTAAGATTGTTAAACCCGGGCCGGGCCTTAATATTTTTTATAAAAATTTTTACATTATGAGTTAATAGTTATAAGATTATATTATATTATAGTTATGATTAATATAATATTGGGTGATGGTTAACACTACCTAACAACCCACAGATCGATCTAATTATTAATTTCCTGCAAATTTATTCAAAGTTATTTTTTTATAATTCATATCTAAATTTTTATAACATATTTTACCAAAACAATCAAATAAGGAATATCTTAAATAAGCCCCAATATTCAAGTATTATTAATATATTTTTTTATAATTCATATCTAAATTTTTAGAATATATTTTACCAAAACAATCAAATAAAGGAATATCACTTCTTAAAGTTTGTAATACCTTTCAAAGCGAAAAGGAGAAATAAAATTGATTTTACTTAATATAAAGCATTTTTTAATTGAAAAATTTGTTTTACACAAGTATCATTATTTCTCTTTTTCTCTGTCCCAAATTCAAGCAATTACGTATGTAGTCAGGGCCAGATCGCAAAATGATGGAAAACTATATAAAAGATTATATTAAATTACAAGAGGCTCAGGAAGTAAATGAAATACCATCGACCAGTCAAATTACGACTGTTGTTAAACAAACTGAATCTTTTTATGACAAATGGGGCGATGGTAATTCTGGTAATATGTCAATACCCGATGATGAATATTATAATTATATAAATAATAGATAAAACATTTAAGGTGGATAATTTGTTAGAGTGGTGGGCGGCTCATCAAAGCGAATTTCCAATTTTAGCAAAATTGACAATTCCTGCTTTAAGTGCAAGCTGTGAGCGGAATTTTTCCACTACTGGGAGAATTCTTGAAGAAAGAAGAAGTAATCTTCAACCTGATTCTTCATGATAATTTGTGAATTTTTAATATCTTTCTTGAGTATAGAGTTTCGTCAATCATGCTGGTTTTTTACTTTGCAAACTGTCAAATATTTATTGCATTTATTATATATACCTTGAGTCATGAAAGTTTTTAATCCAACATTTTTCATTATTTTTTTTTACAATATTATATAATACAATTATCTTCTTTTGTTAAAAATTTATATTATAAAATAAATTATATTAATATTGTGCAATTAGATTATATTTTCAAAATACTATTTATTATACATGCATTTTTTTAAATAGCGATTTATTTTTATTTTATAAATTAAATAGTAAATTAAATACAATATATTATATTCTCAAAATATTTTCCATTTTTATAAATTAAATGTTAGTTTTATTTTTTTTAAATGTAATATAAAATATAGTATATGACAAATATTATTACCATTTTTATGAATATTAGTTTTATTTTTATAAATGCAATATAAAATATAGTATATGCTCAAAATATCCATTTTTATAAATAACAGTTTTATAATTTTTATAAATTCAATATAATATTCTCAAAATATTAGCTTTTTACATGTATTTTTTGAATAATAAGCGATAATACTCGCTAAAAAATATGGTAAAATACCTCATAGGTGAATTTTTGTATATACCAGGTTGAATATAATTTTAAAAAATTCCGAGCCGGGCCTGAAATTTTTAAATCCGGGCCGGGGCGGGCCGTAAAAAATTTTATTTTAAATATCCGGGCCGGGCCTAAAAAATTTAAAACCGGGCCGGGCCGTGCAAATGGTACCTCTGCAGGTCTCTGATTAAAATATTAAATATCAATATTTATTTAAATAAGAGCAAATTAAAATAATAAAATTCCTTAAAATTTAATTAATATTCATTAAAATCATTTTTTATAGGAGTTTATTCCATTAAAATTAATTTAGATTAACTCATTAAAAATTTGCTGCAAAAAATTATATCTAATCGAATCCTTTTATTTAAAAATCATTCCTTTAGGATTTAAAATAAATTTGATTATGCAACCCTAATGCTGAACATTTTCAAAAAAAATCGAACGCGTTCAAACGGTCATTGGAAAAAATTGAATGCGTTCACGTTCACCTTCAAAAAAAGTAACGCATTCACGTTCATTCAAAACTTTACGAATAAATTTAAAATATCATTTTATATTTCATTTAATGTAAATAAATGCCATATATTTATTGACATAATATATTAGCCATGTTTAAAATTAAAAGTTTTCAGTAAATAAAAAAATATTTTTATTATTAAAAAAATTTTCTTATTAATTTTTAAATATATAAAATTAATATTTTTATTATTAAAAAAATTTTCTTATTAATTTCTAAGTATATAAAATTAATATTTTTTATTTTTAAATGAATAAAATGGTTTTTCTAAAATAGAACGAACGTAAAAAACGAACACGTTCAAGTTCAAAGTTTGTTAAAATTAAAAGGATCGTTTTCATCATTTTTTTCAACTAAATATCCTCCAATTTAAAATGGTCATATCTCATTAAATTTTTTATTAAGCTTTGATATTTTAAGCATTTTATTTAAATTAATTTTAAACAAATTATATAATAAACATATAAGATTTAAAAAATCGAAGATATATGATAGCCCCCCGCCCCCCCCCAGGGCGAAAAATCTCCACAGATAATAAAAAGAATATTATCACTATAAAAGTCAATAAAAATACGATAAAAACAATAAAATATTTATTTAATCTTCAGTAGTTAGTATATCATATTTTTCTTAATAATGTGAAAAACAAAGTAGGTCATAAGCCTTATCCTAAAAAAAAACTTTCCAATAAAGTTACATAAAACTTTGTAAAAAAAATAAAAGTTTGCATAAAATAGGAAGCTGCAGGATAAAAAAAATCAAATGGAAATAGGTTTTTTTGTGTAAAACATTTAAATTCGGAGTGCAGTTATATTACCAACAAAATATCTCGAAGATTTAAAAATATCGAAAATAAACTTTTTTCTAGTAAATTTTGAAAAAAAATATGTATAAATTCTAATTTACTCGTATATAATTTTTATTTTATTTATTTTTTTAAATTAAATTCATAAACTAACCAATTACGTTTGATGAGTGACGCCGCCCTATTGCAGCTAAGTAAGGCCGATGATGCGGGTCCCGTATATATTGAGACCGATGTGTTGATCTTAGAGAGGGCTTTATTGTAACTAGTTATAGCTCGATCGAAACGCGAAGCTCTAAAATATTGATTCGCTTCTTCTTTGAGCTTTAACACGAGCGGATCTGTATCGGCTGACGGAGGTAGCAAGGAAAATGGATTTGAGAGAATTTTCTAAGTGCGCAACATGTGAAGAAGAATGAAAAAATTGCTTAATTTATGACCTTTTGTATCTCACGATTTGCAATTTTTATACCTCATTTTTATAACATTTCTCACGGGGCCATAAAATATAAAAACGCTTCAAAACTAAAGAAAACTTGATAAATAAAATAAGATGTATGGGACCATAACTACGAAAGGGTAAATGCGGCAAGGCATTATAATCGGGAGTCATTATAATAATTGTAATATTGCTGAGCTGTGTTCTGCTCACTTTTAATCTTTAAATAAATAAAAAATAATTGAAGATTATTAAGATTAGATTTAATTCTTAATCCATCGTCGATCATTGGTCAAAAAAATAAGGATAAACAAAATTTATAATTATATAACCATTAACCATTCAAAATTATTGTTATTCCGTGTTAAAATCAAAATACAAAGTAGCCAATTATTCAATATTTCGTTTTTTTCTGATGACCAAAACCGGATATATATTGAAGTAGGTGTATAACCTTCTCTGCATCTCTAGAAAAAGTTCATGTCGCAGTAGACCTGCCTAGGGTCTCCGGGACAAGGCGAGAGGACGATGGCTGATCCGTGGAAGCTGTCTCACTATCCTTCTCTTGTTTCCCTTAGCCATTATAATTATTATTTACATTAGATTTTACGTTACTTTAATTGTTATTTTAAGGTATAAGAAATATTTTGATTAATTTAATTAAATGTAATTTTTATAATACACAACTCTTCTTTTAAAATTTATAATTTAATTTTTAAAATAATTTAAAAAATATCGTCAAAAATTTTAATCAAAAAAAGAATGACTGACCAAATAAATAGCAGGGGACGGGGAGTGAATCTATTTTAAATTTATATATGAATTCTCGCCTAACTATCAAGTAAATTAACCATATAGATAAAGCATTTAAGATATATTTAATTTTTTTACATTTACCTTTAAATATAAAAAGATTAAATAGTATAACTGTTAAGTGAAAACAAAAAGAAATAAAAAATAGGAATTATTGTTTGAAGGAAGGGATGAAAATAATTTCAAATAATAATAAAAAAGAACAAAATTTAGCAGTTTAAATTTAAAAAAAAAATGTTTTAAGTATAACAAGTACATTATATTTTTTCTGGAGAATTAAGTCATTTTATCTAATCATTAAGTATTTTTTTCGAGCGTCAAGGCCGTGTCCTAGGTCGATTTATTACTTAATAGCAGGCTATTTAAAATACTAAATAGCCAAAAAGCGAATAAAAAAATAAAAAAATTAGAGCTGTGCCGATATTAAATATCGGATCGGCACCGATATTTAACGTTTTCCAAAAATATCGGATCGGGCCGATACCTGTAAAAACATGATCTAATCCGATTTTTTTTTTACTAAAAATGCAATCCTTAAAACTTTTGAGCAATGAAACTTTGAATTATTATTACATCATATTTATTATTTTTTTAATAAAAAAATTTTTTTTAAAATATTTAAAAAAATAATAAATTTCCCCGAGTTTCAGTGAGTTTCTATTTTTAATTTTTTTTAAAAAATAACACCAATTTTATTATTTATACTTTAAATAAAAGAATTATTTTAAATATGGTTTCTGTTATGGAAATATTTTAAAAAAGACAAAGAAAATTTTGCAAAATGAGTTATCTGCGGAATTCTAATTTCACATGGAGGAGTACTGAAAATTATTTTAAAAAATCTAATATATTATAATTTTATATATTAAATATTACAATTTTATAGTTCATACCAACGTAAAATGGATATATTATTATATTTATTTTATTATGCATTTAATATTATTTTTTTATTTTTTTATCTATCATAATATAATTTTATTAAATTATTGTAGAAATAAAAAAATTATATTAAATGCATAATTCTTTTTCATAAAAAATATTGATTTCTTAATTACATTTGGTTCAAAGAGGGGTGGTGAAAAATAAATAATGCATTTCAATTTTAATTCTGAGCTATATAGGAGCCCTACATACACAACATGTAAAATTATCATTTTCGGTTAAAATGATGAGGGAACCTATTAAAAAAAATTAGACAGATTATCTGACGTAACATATCAAAGACGAATGCTATTTAAGGTCCATAAAAACTCTACAATCTTCATAATTGCAGGTTACCTAGTCATGGGTAATCCAATTACAATTTATTTTATACACATGTAAATGAAACAATAAAACATGTATAGTATACATTAATATCGGCAAAAACGACATGTCCATCGTGATCATTATCCAAGCCTAGTAAATCGGCCAATGTTGCCTTGAATGAACGTTTTATATGCGAGCCAGACGGAATGAGATTATTGGCGGGAAAAGCGCCATTTTTGTTGGACGGTAATTGCGATATGTTGCATGACGGTGACGTATAGATGCTAAATCCATTCTCCTTTCTCTGCTTTTTGGGAATCGTTTCGTAATTTGTTTCAGATGATCTTTTATCATTTAAAAAATATATATATTTATAACCCGAAAACTTTTACCATCATATAGTTTTTATTTACAAAATAGAGGAGCTCATTACATTTAACCTATCTCATCACACATAGATCGAGATAGCAGTGAGCTGGCCTTTATCACATGTTTATGGCGGCACTTAGGTATACTCTTAGTAAAGCATTTCAATAATTAAAATAACAAAACTCAGATGATATGTTCGAAATTTGGGCTTAAGTGGGGTTTCGGTTCCACTTCCTAAAATTTAAAAAAACGGGTGGTGGTACTTAAATTTGAAGCGGTTCCAAGCATTCAAAGGTTCTTTTTTTAAAAAAGTGAATACTTTATAAGAATCATAGCTTCGTGTGTCGTAAATCTTTCTTTCTCCATTTTTCTCCGGAAAGACGGGTCTTGTGGACTCTAAATTGCTCTTAGACCTCGTGTGTTTTATCAATGCTCAAGAAGAAATGTAATAGTTATTATGAATAATGGATAAAATAAAATTATCCGTTCGAAAAAAAGGAAAATTGATTAATAAAACGAAATAACTATTGGTGGTTATTCAGAAATGCAAGATAATTACATAAATGATTTTCTTTAAATGCCTTCAAGTAAAAAAATAGAAGTTTAAATTGAGTAATTTATCTATGAAATAAGTTTTAAAAGAAAACTAATTTAATTTGATTTGTGAGGTTACAACTTTAAATTTAAATTTACAGTAAAAGTAAAAGTGGACATTTTCTTTAAGAAAAATATTAAAAGAAAACTTTTTAAAAATAGACTTTATCGAATGAATAAGAAAAATCAGAATTGGCGGCAAATATTTTGTATTTTAAAAATCTATTATGCTTGAATTGAAACGGTGCGAGCTAAAAAAAAGTTTAGATATTTTATTCTCGAAGTATGAGTAACTGCTCAAAAACAACGGGAAATCCTGATCAGGATTAAAAGCGAAAAAAAATGGTTGACTGCTTCAATTGTTAAATTAGATATCAAAGCAAAGCATTTAAAATTAAATTTAATTATGTAAATTATTCAGAAAATGGTTTGTAGATATTGTGCAGAATAGAAAGTGATGACCTATGGTTTTAATCAATGACATATAATACTTACCTAGACAGTCGATTTATTTAATCAAATGCATGCGGAAGAGTCGTTGAATACAAATGAGCTGGTAACACGCTATTTTGATTTCATGTATAATTTTTTTTTAAAAAAGCTTTAATATTTTCATGTAAATTGTTTATATAGGAAACCAAGATTACACGTCACCAGCTGATTTGTTTTGATACACATATAAATATATTCAACGGCAGTCTAAGTATTATTACATGTCATTGGGTTCAACATACTTAAATATATTCATAATTTAAAAAAAATAAAATAAATATATAATAATGATAATGAATAGATAATTAGCTAACAACTCAGGTTTGATCTCATGCTTTCTATCCGCCATTTTAAATTCGCTAGCGAGTGACAAAGCCGTAGCAAGCGATATTTGATCATCGTATCCGTAAATTTTATTTGAGTAATTGTCGGGACTAGAATAAAGCGAAGACATGTGATTGTCGTCATAACTTTGAATAAGCTCCCTTTTCAAGGAATAATTTTTAGGTTTATAACAAAACAGGGTATCATAGAGGTATATTTGTTCACCGCCCAAATTGACCAGTAGTTCTGAGCCATCGGGACTGAATGTCGTGTAAGTACAAGCCAGATTTCTAAACTTTTTTTTGTATTCCTTTAATCTGAATGGGACGTGGCCTATGATAAATTTTAAAAAGAAATGTATTACATCTATATATATACTCAGATAATTTGCTAAGTTCCCCACAATGACATATAATACTTATCTATACCGACGATTTATATAAAAAGAAAGGGAAAGAAAAAATTTACAAAACAAAGCAAGAACTATATTTTTATAAAATAATTTAAAACCAAAAATATATATTTAAGAAAAAATGATTAATTCAAAACAAAAAATGCTCTATTTTTGTTTTTGATTGATTTTTTTTTCAGTCTAACTATTTTGTGTTTTTATAGCCTTTTTTAATTAGTCAGGCATAAAATATAAAATACTTAAGATTTTTAAAGTATATTCAGTTTTTTTTGCGGTTTTTTAAAGAAAATCAAATTCTTGAATTCTAACTTATTATATATCAACAATCAAAGTGTGAAAAAATACGAATTTTTATATTTACTATAAGAACCCAAAGGCCTGTCCCAGAACTGGTCAAGGGGGTTAAATAGCATGAGTTGTTATATTGTGCCATTAATTTAAATATGTATTAACCTTAATCCAGATCTCATTTATCCAATCCCAATCTCTCATCGAATAAATTGATTTCAGAAAAATATTGGCTCCCCACACAATCGAACAAAAGAATAGTCAAATATAAATGGCGACTCAATGGCTACGCACTTACTTAAACATGGTTATAATTTTAATAATACAAACCTGCGCTGAACTGCCCTTGAAAATATCATTTATTTTTTTGCAAAAGGTTGGGCCTAGCCAATTGTTTTAAAAATAAACATAAATTATATCGAGTATAACTAGACCTGTGCGCCGATGTCTCAATCAACGGCGGCGGTTTTTTAAAATTTTTTTATCGGCGTTCGGCGGCGCGCCGATTTCGCCGCCGCCTACTAAATTTTCGGCGTCGGCGGCGCAATATTTATTTTAATTTTTTTTAATGAATTTAATTTATAAATCAATATATTTTTTAATGAATTTAATTTATAAATTAATGTATTAAATTTTTTATAATTTATGTAGGCGATCTTTTCTAACACATTGCTAACATAGTTTAATTGATCTTAAATTATTTCCCGTCTCACTCCAATTTAAATTTATGTATTTTCTCATTCTCAGAAATAGACAAGGAATTGTATTTTTATTTTTACTCAATCAGAGTCATACCAACAACACATATAAGAAATATCCTATTGATTTTTATTATAATTAAAATAAATTTGAAATGCAGGCAAAATATGAAGTATGAAATATGATAAGTCAGAATTCAGATTTAGCAAAATTATAATTGTCATGAATAAACAGTATTTTATCAAGATTTGTAGGACATAAAGAACTCCTTTTAGCATTGAGTATTAATCCAGCAATGGAAAAATTCTTTAACTGAGTGTACTGGTTGCAGGTATGTAAAGAACCTTCCTAGCTAAATTAGCATGCATAGGAAGTTCCAGTCGCTTTTTCTTCCAAGAGCAATGCATCTTCTTCTGAAATAATATTTTGGCTGAGCAAAATATGGCATTCTTGTTTAAGATTAGTAATATTGTTATAATCGTTAATAGGAAGGGAATGTTTTCGAGCTAATTTCGCTATATAAGAGCATGATGTACCATCCTCGACTTGAATTTCAGGCTGAGCATTTCTATAATGCTCTAAAAGTTTTAAATGTCGTATTAGAAATTGCAATGATTTCGTAGAATTTGAATTTAAATATTGTGAAACAATATTGGGATTTTGAAATCTTAGATCAAGTAGAGTTGCTAATATCTAATGTTTAGAATATAATTTTATTAATAAAAATATAAAATAACTTGAAGTTCAGTGATCGGAAACCTATGGTCAAGCTTTTTTTTCATATTTTCTTTTAAGCATATTATATCTGAGCAATCAGATTTATTGATTTGTATATGAGCTTCTATTTCACTGCTAAATGATAACCCTGAGTTTATTGTAAATCCTTTTTGGGAGGAAAGAAATTCCACCGACTCTCGGAATGGATTTACTTAAGCTCATCTATCATGTCCTATTCATTATTAAAGAGTTTTAAAGATTGTTTTCCTATTTTATTTAGAACATTATTTATAGGAATTTTGTTTACAATGCAAATACTTCCTAGCATAATTAATATGCTATGCTAGCGGGTTAGGCAATTTATTTTTAAAGTTTTTGCATTAATTGGATTGGTTGGTGCAATGCCATTTCTATTATCCGATTCATCAAACATATCAAAATGGTAAGGTATAGATCAGAATCATCAATATCCAAGATATTACCTGTCTCATAAATTGACTGCAGACATTTACCATGTTCAGCCTCAATTTCACATTCCAAATCAGCTACTCGATATCTGAGGGCTGAAATAATTTCTCTAATTATTTTAATGAGAATATCAATCTTGGTAACTTTTTTTATGCCAACAACTGTAACCAAATTATGAAGTCCATGCCCTAAGCATAAATGATGCTCATAATTCCCTAATCTGACGCTTCTTTTGACATTAGCCCCAGCATCAGTTACTATTTGTATTATTTTGGCTTTTAAATGGAACTCCTCTTCAATACTATCAATATCAGATAATATTGTTTCCCCAGTATGCTTTTGAGTCACATTTTTAGTTGAGGGTAAAATATTTTAAATCAAAATTTTCATCTAAATGATGAAGACTAAATGTGATAGAATTTCGACGCTTGAAATGATCGGTCCACAAATCAAAAGTGATAGAACAAAATTATGGTCCAGAGTCAATCAAATTTAAAACATGCGCCTTCATAGATAAATAAACATCGTCTAGTGTATCCCGACTAATGGTTGTCCTATTTGGCAATTCTGAAGAGGAATCAATTAATTATCTTATATTTCTAATTTTTTAACAATTTATTTTTTAATAATCATTTTATATAAATTTTAAACCTTTAGAAAGTCTGTCATTCCTTTATTATTTATAGAATCAAATGGCATTAAATCTAAGCAGACATCAAAACATAATTTCGCCTTATTAGATTTCATATTTATTTTAAACATTAGTAAGATATATAAAAACATTAAAATAGTTAGGGCTAGAATGAAACAAATTAAATTAGATATAGTATTAACTTTCAAAATAAAGCTTTACATAATTAATTTAATAAATTGTATATTAAGTTTATATTTTAAAAGATATTTAAAAACAAAAAAATTAGAGCTGGAATGAAACAAATTATAAATTTGATTTAGTTTAACCTTTCTAATAAAGTTTAAAAAAATTATATATTAAATAATACTTTAAAAAGATATTTACAAAACATAAAATAATAAGGGCTGGAATGAAACAAAATATAAATTAGATTTAATGTTAGTATTCAAATTAAAATAATAATAATTTAATATAAAAATATAATTAATATGCTTTCTAAAAATTACACACGCCGCGCCGCCGCCATAATAAAAATCGGCGGCGAGCCGGCTCGCGCCGCTGATCTCAATCGGCGGCTTTTTCGGCGTGACGCCGGCGCACAGGTCTAAGTATAACTATTAGGAAAATCATAAAGACATGCTCATTTCCTCCTCGTATCCTTTATTTTCCTTTAAAAACCATTTAAAGAATACCCTGGGTTTTTATTGACCCCTTCCTGGTTGCCAAGTTTAAAAATGGGAAGGGGGGGGGGGGGTGGCATTCAAATCTAGACCGATGAAAAAAATCGGCCTCTCCACTCCAGGCTTATGATATTCGTAACATTAGTAATATTTTCAAAAATAAGAACTGGTATATTTTACAAAAAAAGGAATATATTTTTTGAAAAATATTTTTGTTCAAAAATTTTAAACTAAAAATCTTTGGAGATTATTTAAAGATCAAATAAAATTTTTTGAAAAATTGTGATTTCATCATGAAAGAATTTTTTAAAAATCACAATAGATTTACTTTAAAAAAAATTGGAAAATTTAGGTAAAATTTAATCAAAAAATTCCCTTGATTGACCATTCTTTAGAAAATATTCATTTAAGAAAATCGTCAGAGATCAAAAATCTTTAAAGATTTTTATTTTGAAGAGCATTTCAAACCTGTGCAAAACTTTTATTTTAAAAATGATAACCTTTAAATGGCATTATTAATGAATTATTATTTTAATATTAAAACCAGGAACAAAATATCGACAGGCATTGAGGGGTACATTTTCACCATTTCTTTCACTATATGATGGGGCGTCTTGGCTAGTCTGTATTGTTTCAATGATATGTGAATAATTTGTATTTTATAAATAATTTTGATTTGGGATCTATAAAAATTGGAAATGCACCAATATCAACATCTTTGTCAATGCCAAGGATATAAACATAATATTGGCCAGTAATACCACTACTAACATGGTCAGCCAATAGGACTGATATCCAATATAATGCCAAATAAATAATGTAGTATAAATTTATATTAATTTAAAAAAATGATATCTTTGCTAAAAATAAATTTAAAGAAATAAGAGGTTATAATGATATCCTTTTTAAGTATCGACCACTCAATTGTAATTGGTTAAAATTTAAAGTATTGAACAATATTGATGTGAATTTTATACAGTGAATATCTGCTCAATACTGATATCAGTACATATCTGATTATAATAGATTTTATTTTTTTTTAAAACATCATCTAAAAGTTTTTAAACACTATTACATCAAATAAATAAAAGATTGTATGACAATTGGTGCCAGTTATCAAAAAAATTTTTCTAAAATACATATCCAGCTGGAGCTTCAAATGTGGTAGCAGTCAAAAATCTTCTATCAAAGACTCTAACATAAGGGTCATTACAACCTACCGCCAGCATTTCAGGTCTTAATGGATTGATGGCCATGCATTTGCCTTCCAATACACCATTTTTTCTGATATTCAAGCTGCTTTTGCCATTTGAGTTAGAATCACAATATAAATTGAGGTTTAATAGTATGTTATTGCATTCAATATAGTTTTCTATTGGTGCATCATGGGTTGTGGAGGCATTATGATGGGGGCAGGCAGGCATCCTAGTATCATATTGCCTATAGAATTTATTATTCTTTTAAAATATATATAATAGTTTAAATTTACATTACAAGGCCATCTTCTCCAATACTCCAGATCATAAAAGGTTCACGGTCTGTTACACCAATCCTTTTAACTCTACCCCTATGGCAGTAATGACAAGTTACCAATTGTTTACCTCCATTATAGCCATTATTCACAACTTTGGCAAAATAATTTATGTCATGTAAGCAAACTCTTTTATCAGCTGCCCCACTTACTATTATGCTGTCATTTGTTTCTGGCAAAAACTTTATTAATTTTATAACAAATTTGTTGTCTAATTATTTTATAAATTGTTAAATTACAAACCTTAACAGAAAATATATTGCCATAATGATGAGTCTGAATAGTATGTAAGATATTGCTTCTATTTTTGGTGTTATTACTATGAGAGGAATAAGGGTCCCATAAAATGATCTTAAAATCATCAGATCCACTGACCAACAAATTGCCTTTTGTATTCCATTCCAAACAGTTAACACATCCATTATGACCCTTTAAATAAGATAAAATTAATCTTATTTAAACAAAAACAATTTCATGCTAAAGACCTGCAATTCTTGTTTTAGGGTTAATCTTTGAATAAATTGAGATTTCACATGATTTTTCCGTTGAAAATGTAAATGAGTTTTCTCCTATTAATATAGTATGTATTTTATAAAGTTATGATCAAGTACCCCAAAATTGTTACGTTGATCAATGTCATAAAAAATATTATAATTCGACTTGTGTTTCACCATATTGCTAAATAAATTCAGTTATAAATAATAAATATTCATAGCTATATGGATCTATATCAGAAGCACAGGGTTCACCATGCATATTAGAAAAAACATATGAGAATAATCTGTCCTTAAAATGTTAGGAAGAAAATATAATATCAAATTCAAAAATAGAGAAATTGAGCTAATGTTTTATTTACTAAATTATTATTGCATACTATAAAAAATATACAATGTAATGTGTCGAGAAATTATAAAAATCTTACCTTTAAACCTCAAACAAAATTAATTACAGCTTAATGTACGAGAAATTATTTTACAAGGAAATATTTTATTTTAATTTTTATTCGATGCCTATGTAATAATTCATGATATAGAAGGAAAAGAAATAATTATGCATTTATAGCCTCAGGGATAGATAAAATATTTAAAATTTTTTAGAATCAATGAAACCTTCGATCTATATAAACATTCTCTGAAGTATCATAAATTATAAAGGATATTAGCGCCTTGGGCCTTAACGATAACGATAACGATTTATTCTTGGGGCATATGAAGAGCTCCAGAATTTGAAGAATTAATCTAATACTTATTAGGAACTATCAGGCTTCACGCTCTTGTTGAAGCCTAGTTTGCTAAAAGCACGATTTGGATCGATTTTTCAAAACGGCTCGAATAAGATTTTAGCTAAAATAATATATGTAAGCAATGAGATTTGACAAATAGATAACAAGCATTTCCTATGTGCAAAATATTTATGCTTACATATTACTTTGCTTTTAATCTTAATTGGGCTGTTTTTAAAATCGACCCGCGCTAACAACACTACTAAAGCCCTTAAGTACAATTCGAGCAAAAATGGACCACACCAACAGCTAGGGTTATTAAAAATATGAGGCCTTTAATGATAAGATAAAAATAGATAGAGGAATCTAAAAACATGCTAATGAAATAAATCTTCACACTGAATCAATTGCAGAATTTGGAAGACAGTAAAAGCTGACATGATTTAAGAAGTAACCTAAGAGGAGTGATGTTAAATGACCCGATTTGGGTCTATTTTTAAATTGGGTCCGAATAAGATTTAAAGTAATATAATGTAAACCTTGAGATTTAGCAAATAGAAGTCCAAAACTTACTTCCACCTATGAGCAGAATCTCCAGTTTATTTAATTTATATAAGCTTTTGATTCTGAGATATAGTATATTTAATTTGGGGTTCATATGAATCTAATTTGATCTTTCTTTTGTTTTCTTCCACCTAGAGTATAATGACTTTTAAAAAATTCATTTATTATTGTGTTAAATAATCATGTAATATTATACAAAAAAATTAATATGTTAATAGTATTTTCTTTAATATTATTGTTATATCATCAATCCCAAATTTCAATTAAAACAGTTTTTTTTTACTTATTCCTTACTCTATAACCCAGCCCATGAGTCAGGGATCGGCTCCCCTTCTCCTTATAAATTAAAATATTTTAGGGGTTATGACGCTTTATAGAGCACAGCGTGACTCGTTCCTTTTAATAATTTAAAATAAGAGTGTTTGTATATTTTATTTGGCTATAAAATTATCTTAATGCAAAGTTGTGCTAATAACGCTAATAAATGTAAATGTTAAATTTTTTGGGTACTATCAAGTATTGGAGAAGTTTGCAATTGATAGTACCAAATGGAAAAATAAATTTTATTAGCATTTCCAGGAAAAGAGTTATGGGAAGTGTATGAGTACTATTACAAATACAAACTCTTTGAGATTAGTATTAAATGAATAAATAATGCCAATTAATATATTCCACGAAGGAACGAATTAATTTTTTTTTATACAACTTGGGTTTGTGAATAAAATCAATCTCAATATTAAAAAAGGAATTCGCTATGGCCTCTTAAAATTTTACATATTTTTAAGGCCTCATCTTCATTTTTCCTTTATTTTCGCAACTTGAAAGTTAAAAACGTCTATGAAGCTATCTTAAACATTCATTTTTCCGAGTCCAACAAAACAAGGTGGTTTGGAGTTTCTCCTATTTATTTTAGTTTCTGTCAGACTTTCCTTTTCCCGTCTTCAATGCGAAGTTATACGTAAGTTTGTGGGAGGTAGAAATAGTCTACTTGACCTGTGACTTATGGAAATTTTTTTTATGCCTTTTGTCTCTTTCTCAGTCCTCGGCAAAAATGACTTTCTTAACCTTTTTCTGACTAACTCTACGAAATTGATGAGAACCTCCATAGAAGATACATTAATCCTCAAATACTTAGGTCAAAACTCGTGTCATGAGTTTGAAGCAGTTCCAAGTACCAATCTTGGTCTTTTGCTATCCGAAAAGAAGCTGACAATAGCGTCTACATGACATGATATCCACTGGAAACAAACTCCATCAAAACTTATACCTAACCAACTAAACATTTTTCGCCGCCTTCTGCAAAGATATTCTTACATTATTAATTATAATGCTACTCCATTCATATATTTTAAAAAGGAACTACTAACTATCAAAAAATTGTGAATTTAGAAATTGAATTAAATTTTAAAATCCTACAATGAGTGCATAAGGAAGGAGCGCAGGGGCTCGAACCTCCTGAACTTTCCATATAAAAATTTAAAAGATAAATCCCCCAAACAAATATATTCTACCCCCTTACAAAAAATTTTGAAGAAAAATGCTCCTATACCCCCCCCCCTCTCCGCTTATAAGAGGGTGGCAATAGAACAGACTAGGCTGCGATTTTACCTACACAATAAATGTGAATGGTTCGGAAAGTTTCCGATCTTAAGGCCAGTATGGTCCAACCTGTTTATATTCGAAAGAAAGGTTCTGTGGTAACCGAGCTATGAACTCTTTAATCTCAAAAAATAGATGTGGCCCACTACCCAAATCTCCTTAAACCCATTTACTTATCCTTTGTCTAATGGGAAAAGACCAGATGAGCTCACAAACACTCCTTAGATTAGATGAAAACATCTTATTTGGAAATTGACAGATTATTACAGCAGATAAGTCAAAAATTAAAAAGTACGGTGAATTTTCAGATTTTTACTTTATCTCATTAGTTATATCTACCAATGGGTCCCTAGGCTCTCATTTTTTTAAGATTATAGGTAAAAAATTTTAACTTAATAAGGATCATAGATCCTTCTTCAAAAGGTTACAATCAACTCAAATTGCCGTGAGGCATGTATCTTAGTTACATAGGATCTCAACAAGGCTCTCTTCCCGCCCTCTTCATATATGTTTTATAACATTCTTAATAGTTTTTATATTAGTCATGTGTAACATTATAGGAATTAATAAATTAAAATATTGGTTATTGAATAGTAATATGTTTTAATTTATATGACGTACATTCATTATGTTTATTCAAATTATATTTTTAAATTTAGTTTTACCTTTTATTTTTATAACTTAACCTTTTTAATATTGTATTTGTTATATTATAGGAATTAAATTAAAATATTGGTTATTGAATAGTATTTTAATTTTTATATTGCATACATTCATTATATTTTTATTTGGTTTAGGAATTAAATTGGTGCGGTTTCATCCGGTGGAAAATTTGAAGTGATAGAACGGTAAATACTATTTTATTTTAATCATATTTATTTACAGATTCTATGAACATTATATCTCAATATTGATAGTAATTATAAGTTACACTAAAGAAATTAAGCTTAAAATCAGCCATCACCCACCTTTAAAGTAATTAAATTATACTGTAGTTTTTGGGTATAGGCTTTTCTTTGTCCCACGCCTTTTAAATTAAAGCCTATAGAGGTTTAAGCAACATTTTTCGAAATGTTGTGCCTACAAGTACGTGCGGCTTGTCCACAAACGTGTGGAGGGCTCCTCATATTTTTACTTTTATACCCAAATTAAATTGTTCCAATTAGATGGAAATGAGGAAAACCTAGCATAGCTCTGTTGAATCTTCAACACTAGAGGGCAAAAGCGCTATATATTACGTATCACGTAAATTCAACTTGTATTACTTTTTATGAATTCAAATTTATCTTTTCAATTCAACTTTTTATTTTTGTAATTCAACTTATATTACTTATTATTTTTCGTAACCTTACTTTTTGTTTTTATATATATTCTAATTTATATTTATAGAAAATATATATATACCTTAAGAAAAGAGAAAGAAGTTAGTTAATAAAATATATTTTTACTGACTCGCACCTCGCACCATATCGTTAGTGTCTTTATTCTTTTCATGGTGCCCTGGCTCTGGTGGACTAGAAAAAGATGACTACCTAATCTACTGAGATGACTATCTAACCTATGGAGACTGCTTAACCTATGGAGATGACTACCTATTATGACTACCTTATCTATTGTGACTGCCTAATCTATTGGTATGACCAATGCCTAATCTACTGAGATGACTATCTAATTTATGGAGATGACCAAGAATCAAACCTTAGCACGTTCTTTCATGCAAAAGCTTCTTTCTTCATGGTGTCCTGGCTCTGGATGTTGGACTGGAATATGATAACCAGCACCTAACCTAATGTGACAACCTAGAAAGAACTGATATGGAAGTTGAACGATAGGTTATGAATTCTATTTTGTGAGACCAATGATGATTACTTATTATTCTAATCCACGTAAGAAGAAAAGTTATTAAAAATTAAGATTTTATGCCAGGATAAAGGCATGTTATAAATCATTAAAATAACTAAAATGTAAAATCATAATGGATATATTTGAAGACATAAAAAGCCTTAAAAAAATTATTTATAATTTCTTAGTGAAATATTGATACTAAAATGTAAAATCATAATGGATATAGACCACACAAAAAGCCTTTAAAAAATTATTTACTTAAATTCTTATTGATATTTTTTGATTTCTTGAATTATGACCAATTGTCGTAAATTAACAACTAATCCTAAAGATGAATTCTTAGATATAATTTAATATAAACCATTAAAAATCCTAAACAAGAAGATAAAACTTTAATTTTAAATATATTAAAATGTAATTAAAACATATGAATTAAAAGGGATTGATTTAAATAACCCTTATAAGTAATGCTTAATATGATAAAAATGTTTTTGAAATAAAGCTTTTGAAGATTAGAAAAATATTTAAATGATGTGATGAGATCATTTTCTAAAAATTATCTTATGAAGAATTTTTATTAAAAATAACACTTTTTGAATTAAAACTAAGGTGTGAAATTTAAATTTTTTATTTAAAGAGAGGGAAATGTGAATAATATTTTATTTGCATACTTTAACCTCGGAGATTGAAAATAAATATAAATAAATTAAATACTAAAACGCAAATATTAATTAAACACTAAAACGCGAAAAAATAAAAGTCATTAAAACGCGAAAAGTTAAAACGCTAAAAATATAACAATCTTATTGATTTATCATTCTTCACTTATTTTTATATTTTGATGAACTATTATTTCTTATTATTCGCAACTTACTGATGATAATAACGATTTTGAAAAATGATAATAATAACAAACAATGTCACGATTTGTAAAACATTCGATATGGATATCAAGCTCACGATTTAAACAAAAACGAACTATTTTAATTTTTATATTGCATACATTCATTATATTTTTATTTGGTTTAGGAATTCAAATTCAACTTGTATTACTTTTTATGAATTGAAATTTATCTTTTCAATTCAACTTTTTATTTTTGTAATTCAACTTATATTACTTATTATTTTTCGTAACCTTACTTTTTGTTTTTATATATATTCTAATTTATATTTATAGAAAATATATATATACCTTAAGAAAAGAGAAAGAAGTTAGTTAATAAAATATATTTTTACTGACTCGCACCTCGCTCCATATCGTTAGTGTCCTTATTCTTTTCAGTATTCTAATTTTAGTTTATTGAAATATATATATAGGTTGTTATTATTCTGTAAAACCAAGTTATATTAAATAAAATAAATTATTTATTATAGACTCGTCCTTCTTTCTTTTCATGGTGCCCTGGCTCTGGGTGGTGGACTAGAATGAGATGACTACCTAACCTATTGAGATGACTAACTATTGAGGTGACTACCTAATCTATTGATATGACTGCCTAATCTATTGAGATGACTACCTAATCTATTGACATGATCAATGCCTAATCTATTGAGATGACTGCTTAACCTATTGAGATGACTACCTTATCTATTGATATGACTGCCTAATCTATTGATATGACTGCCTAATCTATTGAGATGACTACCTAATCTATTGATATGACCAATGCCTAATCTATTGAGATGACTACCTAATCTATTGAGATGACCAAGAATCAAACCTTAGCACGTTCTTTCATGCAAAAAGCTTCTTTCTTCATAGTGTCCTGGCTCTGGGTGGTGGACTACAAGATGATGACCAACACCTAATCTAATGTGACAACCTAGAAAGAACCAATATGGAAGTTGGACGTTAGGTTATGAATTCTATATTGTGAGACCAATGATGATTACTTATTATTCTAATCCACGTAAGAAGAAAAGTTATTATAAATTTAGATTTTATGCTGGGATAAAGGCATGTTATAAATCATTAAAATAACTAAAATGTAAAATCATAATGGATATATTTGAAGACATAAAAAGCCTTAAAAAAATTATTTACTTAATTTCTTAATGAAATATTGATATTTTGATTTCTTGAATGATGACCAATTGTTGTAAATTAACCAAACCTAAAGATGAATTCTTAGATATAATTAAAAATCCTAAACAAGATAAAACTTTAGTTTTAAATATATTAAAATGTAATTAAAACATATGAATTAAAAGGTTTAAATCACATGATTGATTTAAATAACCCTTATAAGTAATACTTAATATGATAAAAATGTTTTTGAAATAAAGCTTTTGAAGACAAGTGGTTATGTAACATCTTCATTTTAGATAAATATTTAAATGATGTGATGAGTTCATTTTCTAAAAATTATCTTATGAAGAATTTTTATTAAAAATAACAATTTTTGAATTAAAACTAGGGTGTGAAATTTAAATTTGTTATTTAAAGAGGGAAATGTGAATAATATTTTATTTGTATATTTTAACCTCGGAGATTGAAAATAAATATAAATAAATTAAATACTAAAACGCAAAAATTAATTAAACACTAAAACACGATAAAATAAGTCATTAAAACGCGAAAAATTAAAACGCTAAAAATATTATATAACAATCTTATTGATTTATCATTCTTCACTTATTTTTATATCTTGATGAACTATTATTTCTTATTATTCGTAACTTACTGATAATAACGATTTTGAAAAATGATAATAATAACAACTGAGCATTACAAGCAAGCTATATGAAGTCAAGATTTATAAGGAGAACTTACGATAAGGATATCAAGCTCACGATTTAAACAAAAAACGCGCAAAAACGAACAAACCAACGATTTGGACAAGCCAACGATTAGTGACTTATGCAACATTGACAACCAAAACGATAAACCACTTGAACAAACTCTCTGACTTCTTAGATGAAATTATAAGAAGGCCTGTAGAAGAGAGAGAATGTTACATTATAGGAATTAATAAATTAAAATATTGATTATTGAATAGTAATATGTTTTAATTTATATAACGTACATTCATTATGTTTATTCAAATTATATTTTTATTTTTTCCATTTATTTTTATAACTTAACTTTTTAATATTGTATTCTAATTTTAGTTTATAAAAATATATATATAGGTTGTTATTATTCGATAAAAGTTAGTTATATTAAATAAAATAAATTATTTATTATAGACTCATTCCTATTTCTTTTCATCATGTTTTAAATTGTATCAAGGTAAACTATCAAAGGTTTGTTTTGTGATAAAATGAAATTTTTAATAGCTTTAAAAAACGGCGATATCAGAATTTTAACCAAAAAATATTACCTCCCTCAAAATTTGGTCAAAAAAGAGCCAAACCCTTCTGTAATATAAATTAAAAATCCCAAAGTTTAAATACCAGTTTATTTCAAAAAGCACCTAAATTGAGGTTTTCGCTACGTTAATATAACGTCTATGGCTTTCCAATTAATTATTATTTCGATTTTAAGCAGTGTCGGCTACTTGACATTTATTACACAATTTCAAAGTTATTCAATGAAATTTTATAAAAAATATAATTATACAATCAAAAATACAAAATCGGTTATTATTACAATATAAAAATTATAAAAAAATGTGTGCTTATAAACATAGTATTTATACTAGTATAAAAATATATTATTTTTATAAACGCGCATGTTATCCCTGAAATATAATAAAACAATTTTAAACATTTTTATTACAAAAAAATGTATATATACACAAATTAAATGTTTTTTAAAAAAAAACTTTATGAGGAATTTATTTAATTGTATAATGATATAAAATAATAATATATCAATGAATTATTTATTATGCAAACGTACATTATTTAGCTCAGGTCAAATAGACATAATTATTTTAAAAAAAGAGATATAAAACTAAAAAATATATTTAATCATATAATTTCGTTTTTGATAATTAAATTCCCTGAGTTATGAGTGATTTGAAAAATTGATGAGTGAGTTAATAAATGTTTTTTATATTTAACTAAAAATCAAACCATATTTAATATTGGTTGATAAATTGATCTAAAAAATATAATATATTCCTAAATAATTTTTGATTTGTTTTAATTTAATTTTATGTATTTTTTTCTATTTTGCTTAAAATTTTTTAATGGATGACATTATAGTAAAATATTATTTGATTTTGGATGAATAGGAAGTTTTATGTTTCGTATTATTCCTCTTGATTACTTCCATTATCCTTAACTTCGATCGTAAGAGAAGACGTCATTAAAATTATTTCGGAATCATTGGCTTGATGTAAATCTTCGATTTCCTGAGACGGTACGTCACGAGGCGAAGTATTGGCGGAAGCATTCCCATTCGTTAATTTGTTAGTTTGTTTTTTCTGGGCGATAATTATAAATTCATTTTAAATGACAATTATTTAATTTTTGATATATTTTCCAGCTTGATTCATTTCTTCAAACGCTACTTTTAAAACTTTGGCAAGAATATTATATCCTATCTTTTAACATTTAAAAAAACAGCACTATAAGAAAGTGCACCAGGATGAGGCTATATATAACAAATATCGAATCAAGTAAATTGTGGTAATTCTATATAATCACTAATTTTTATTTTTCTTTAAAAACACTCTGATGTCTTTTACTTCTATCACTTTGATGCCCAATTTTATAAAAATTTAATTTATCATAGTAGTTTACCTAAAATTTATTTTTTTAAAATCTAATATTCTTAATTTTCGTCTAAGCATGACAATTTTAAAATGGACTCAATCTTGGAAAATTGATAAGTGGAGATAGAACCCTATAATAATCAAGCGATGATATAGAAAAACAAACAAACAATATTAAATTATTATGCATTTTTACTGTCAAATAATATATTTCATTTCCAAAGTTACTGCGCTTTTAGAAAAATCAATGCATATCTTGACAAAAAAATGCAGTACAATTGATATTCCGATATGAATAAATCTTTTTTCTAGTAAGGATAATAAGCGAATAACTTGTAATCATAATAATCAAATATTCTAAACATTATCGACCCTAACACTTTATTGATTTTCAATTAACTTGAAATTTCCCCCCGGTGGCTGCATTTTTAGTGGGTGTAGAAGAGGTAGGAGCGCTGGTTATATTCGGGCAATCTTTGATTAAATGTTGATCGGATTTGCATTGGTAACACAATTTAACTGGAGAGGATGCTTTGAGGTGAATTTCCTCATGAGGGGCAGTCAAGGGTGGGGGAAAGGGGCACTTTACAGCTATGTGATCGGAAAAACGGCCACAATTGTAACATCTGTTTTTGTTGAATAGTATATTGTAAATAAATTCGTGAATGAGTTTTTTTTAACCCTTTAATTATAGGACAAATTTATATTTTCAAAAACAAAACAAATTATCAATTATTTTCTACTTACTTTATACGCTGAAATCTTCGCTTGGGCGTTGGTCTTCTCAAGCTTCCCTTGCAGTTTTGGCCATTCGGTCCGGTGACCACGGTTGCCTCTATACCTTTATCCGTGTTGTGGGACTCGAATTCAACTTCCTCGTTCTCTTCCAAACTCCTGAATCCGTCCATCTTTATCACGTTCTAAAAAATATTCATAATTTATTCAATTATGATCTGTCATTAATTTTTACATTTTAAATCGATACTCTAAACAAAGACCTGCAGACCCGGTTCAGACCTAAAAAAATAGTATGATGACGACTATGCTACAAACGCTATACTTATGTGATAGTGTCGATCCAAATATTAATACCACTTTATATTATAAATTCGAGACAAAGATGGGCTAAAAGTTTGTTTATCTATGAGGTTTGGCAGGTGGATTGTAAAATCAATATCGTATTGATATTATCATTGTAGATTATACCGTAGTGATATTTTTGTATTGTAGAATCAATAACGTATTAATTTTTAAGAGATGTTTTCATCTCTTCAAATACATTGGTAGCCATTAAAATTGTAAAATATTTATTATTTTGTGGCTCTATAAGTGTTGATTCAAAGTTTTATAAATGATATTATGAATTTAAATAAATTATATGTACCTTATTGATTGAATGAGAAATCTATAAAATTTTGTGATGATTAATCTATAAAATTAAAATTTTGTGATGTGCTCTATAAAATAAATGTTGATTCAAAGTTTTATAATGATATTATGAATTCAAACATATTAAATGTACCTTTATTGATTGAATGAGAATCTATAAAATTTTGTGATGTGTTAATCTATAATAGTCGATTCATCTATAAATGTCTATTCAGATTTGTAAATTATATTTTAGATTTTATTCTTAAAAGTTGAGGTTCGGTCATATATTATCAATACAGTAGTGATTTTACAATATTGTAGATTTACAATACTCCACCGGACTAAAAATAACCGATTTTGCATGACTATTATATATTCCAGTTTTGCTGATGACTCTCCCCCAAAGAAATTCTCTTAAGGCTGTGTCCAAAATAATAAAATATTAAATTCACAAACTTTAATGAAAATAAATAAATAAGCTATTTGAAGTATAAAAATAAAAGCATGTCCAAAATATAATTTCTATAAAAAAATTAAATTTAAGAGGATTTTATAAAAATTTGCAAAAGTTTTTAAATAGTCAACCTAAATAAGTCATTAGATTAAGATTCGATTTATCACAAAGGAGAGGACTTAACCATCTTTCTCAACTTGTATCCAACATTCAATAATTGTAGGGATTACAAAGTAAATGAATAATTAACCAAATATAATGTTCCTGTTAATAATGGTATTTTCACTGAACCCGAACCCCTTTTTGCTTGACTGAGAGTTTATTAGCCATGGTTTTGATGACGATAAATTTAATCAAGATTTTGATTTTTTTTATAATATCGGATATCTAATTTTTTTAAATTAAATTGGCCGTCGATGTACTAAAACAAGGGATAAAAACTAGAGATCTGCATGACTAGTCAAGATATTTAAAGGAAGTTTTTTGGCCCGGTCCGAAAATTTTTTACACCCGTTACACAGCCCGTAATTTTCCTATGGGACGGGTATGTGCAGATATCCCAATTCTGCTGAGAGCACTTATTACGTTTGCCCTCTAGGCAACGTCACTAAGATAAGATATTTATTAACGGTAATGACAAAAAGATGGCGGGTAAAAATAGGAACAGAGCTGATCTTCTGATAAGTTGTCAGGTAAAACTTGCCACCTTATGCTGGTTTCTTCGCTAATGATTATTTTCTACAAATATATATATATTTTAGGGATTATACTTGATGAACAAAGATATCCGGCTCGCCATCGTCGGGAATGATAAACCCATAACCTTTGACAACGTTAAACCACTTCACTTTGCCTTTTCTATGAATACCTAAAAAAAGAGTATTTAAAATATTAAATCATATTAATATCTTTATTATCATATAATTTCAAAAGAAAGATAAATATTTATTACAGAAAATCAAGTGATTTATGACAGGTTCTTTTTCTGACTAAGTTTTGAGGCCCCCGACTTATATATTATGGATTGCATTAAATAATTGATAAATTTCAATCAAATTATAATAGAAGAGAATAATATATTTTACCCCACACTAGAGGTTACGGCGGTCTTTAAAATAATTACGTACAAATTTTCCGGTCCGGAATAATTTTTGGAAGGCATAAATTAAAAATTGTTTCTTAAAGTTTCCCGGTTCAAGACATGGCCGAATATGTAAACAATCCTCTAGTGGGCATGCGCCCATGTATAAAAATAACATTCCACCGGTATACTTTTATGAAATATAGAAGTTCTCAACCACAACTGTTGTAAAGAAATTTTTACACCCATTTTTTAAAATAATTTAATGAAAGATTTTCCAAAATCTAGAGTCTGTGCTAATTAACAGGATAAAATATTGATTCAAAAGAAAAGAGTTATTTTTATTTTGTATATTTCTATAAGGACGAAGCCTATAAGATAACAAATAATTTATTTATTAATATAAAATAGATAATTATTCAATATTTTTGTTCAATTTTTTTATAATATACGTTTATCCGCTTTTTATAAGTTAAAAAATCGGATTATTTTTATATATAAATCAGATTTTTTTAAAAAGATATATATGACCAAATCTGTCAACGTGGGAATATGTTATCTTTAATTATATTAAATATAAATACCTTTATATTTTTACTTAACCCTTTGCTTACGAACTGAATCCCATTTGTCATATTTAATTGCTTATAAAAACTTTCCGTTTCATTCTCTTGTACCCCATTTTATTAATGTATCCGTAATATATTAAAAAATCGCACAAATATTTATTCAAGAATTCTATCGGGAAAATGAGCAAAATGGTGATTTCTACTGCTACCCAAATGGGTCCGCTGTGCTATGCATAAATTGATATTATCTATGTAATTTTTTGTTGATAAGAATAACATTTTAAAAAAAATTTATTTGAAAGAGAAAACTGTGCCTTTTAGAAGGTGTCCTGTTCTAAAAATTTTATTCGAATGCATGAGGTCATATATCTGGCGTTAAAAACGCCTAAAATAAATAATAATCATTTACCTTTTTCTACTCCTAAATATTTATCATTTTTAGAATATAAAACAAATATTTGTTAATAATGCCCCAAATAAAATATAATTTTTTTCTCTCGTTTTTATATTTACGGAATTGAAGAGTTGTATAAACTAAATAAATTTGTATCGATTAAAGTTAAAAACCGATATTACTTATTTAATAGATGCATATATAAGTAAGAAAGTTATTCCCCACCCTTTGAAAATTCCAGTATTTTTGTCTACTGTGTCATTTAATGAAAAATCCACGAAATCTTTACAATATAAATTATTTTATTTATTTTCATTAACCTTATGCAATCGAAATTATTTGATTTGCCTAACTATATTTTATCCACAAAAATAAATAGGTAAATATTTCTATAATTTTTTTAAATTTATATTTCATTAGGCCGTGAAAATAAATATATAAGCTATTTTAAATATAAAAATATTTTAAAAAAATGTCCAAAGCATAATGTTAGAATTATGAATTTCTGTCATTAAAATTTGCAAAAGTTTTGAAGTTTTTTAAAATGGGTTAGAACACAGCCTTAAATAGATCAATTTTTGTAGGAAGATGCCAATTCTGATTGTCAACTCGATTCAACTCATATAAATGAGCTATATCAGGCTGTGTGTCATATAAACTCTTAGAAAGTTTTGATGATTCTCTCCTCGCGTATAGAGATCAAATTAAATTCTTAGTATCCAAAAGATGGAAATGAATGATATTTAAATTTTAAAACCGTTTTCAGAAAGCAGTAAAATGACTTAAAATATTATTCGTAGAAATCCAAATCTAACCCGATTTACTGTTCAAGAATATAATTTCTCAAGGGTAGTCATCCCTGTTGTTTCTTAGAATACCATATATAATAATGTAAAATAAATCGTGAAAAGTATAAAATTTTATATAACTGGTTCAATGAACCCCCTGTGGTAATTCCTGTTGTTTCTTAGAATGCCAAATGTTAATAATGTGAAATAAAAAGTGAAAAGTATATATTTTATATAACTGGTCCAATGGACCCCCAATGGTATTGGTGCTATATTTGTCTGTCTGGTAAGCTAAGAGTTAAATACATGAAAGATATACACTTTAATTTAATATTAAAACAAAATTATATTTAATTGCGCTCTTACAAGCATAGTTATGTATAATGCATAGAAGATATTCGAAATGAATACTATTTGTATAAATTCTGATTTAGGAAATATTTTAAGACACGGATGTGCTTTTCATTTATCTACCTTTAAGATATAGAGGTAAAAAGTATAAAGGTTCAAATTTAATATATTATAGAAATAATCATTTTGTTATACTGCTCTATTAAAAAGGATCCTAATGAGGTTAGATAGAACCATAATAAAAGATACCCAAGTATACTTAAGTGAATAGTCAATGCTATGTGTAATTTGGGAAAAAATATGAAAAAATCATGGCAAAAGAATTTAAAAAATATTTCAAATATCAACCTCAAAAAATCTTTTAAAAATGCTATTTTCAGCCACAAAATCCTTGGATGTATTGCAAAAAATCATTGGACATATCATATTCGAACAATGAATAACATACCCGGTATTAATAATTAAACAATGGAATGGTTCATTCATGACAAATCACTTAATGATCGAATGACCTTTTTATAAGAATAAAATTTGATATAGTATAAAAATTTTAAAAAACTTAAAACTTTTAGTCAAACATATCCGGATTTGGACCAAAGTCCAATCTGACGTTTTTTAGCGAAATTACTTGAAATTATTTTGTAGCACTTCAAATTTTCTATCATTGCGCGTATTCGGTAAAACAAAATCATAATATTTTGCGCTAACTAGAGGAAATAGGAATTTAAATTTTTATTTAATTTGCCATATCATCTTGCGAATAAAAAAATCAAACATAGAGGGCGCTATATTAAATACAATTTCATATATTTATATAATATTGTTTAAAATAGAACAGAGATCTGCAGAGGTCAAAATTTTACGGATTTTAAAAATTTTTTTTATTTCCAAGCTTTGTTCAGCGCAGATTAAGAAATCAACAACTTTGGTCCTACACCCACGAGTAGTGTTGTTAAACGGCTCGTTTTGAGCCGATTTTTAAAAATGGCTAACTCAATATTTTATATAGAATAATATTACGCAAGCCTGAAAATTTTGTCTGTAGAAAGAACAAAGGTTTGGACATCTATTAGCAAAATCTCGAGGTTTAGGCAATATTTTTCTGGCTAAAATATTGAGTTAGCCGTTTTAAAAAATCGGCTCAAAACGAGCCGTTTTACAACACTACCCACGAGAAATCATTCATATCAAGTAAATATAAAACGCAGAAAAATGAAGGTTTTTTTTTAAAAAAAATTCCAATAAACAGAGTTTTAGTTTACAATGCCAAAAAATTATTTTCGTCCAAAAATCGTGATTTTTTTTTATATTCGGGTATGAGCCTAAGCTGGAAATAGTTTTTTAAAATAACTATAAATTAAATCAGTATTATCAATAAATCCTGCATTGATCGTATATTATTTTAGATTATTTTTGCTTCATTTTTTAAAAAACTAAAAATTAGGGAAAAATATATTAAAAGTAAGCACTTTCTTTTCCTTCTTTTTTATGAGATATATGAATCCATTTGGATTCTGAATCTTTCAATTTTAATTCATTTACTGAGGGCCACTTTTAAATTTAAAAAAATTTGATTTGACCGGAAATGCAATCCAATATGAATAGAGCAAACTACGAATTTCTTTTGCCCAGATCTACTAAAATATTCTTAATTAATATCCGTTTTTATATAAATCACATAAATTTCATCGCAAAATTTGTCTGAAATTTATTTTATATGGTAGGAGGGTAAGTATTCTACACGCTGAAATACATTTCCGGTCAAATCAGACTCTTCAACATTAAAAATCTCCCTCTCGTTGATATAAAATTAGAAGAATTCGAATCCCAGTTATATAAGTTTTTGGGGACTGGTATAAAAAAATTGGTCTTTTGCTATAGTTAAACATTAGATACTAATTTAGCTACTTTTAAAAAATATTAATTAATATTTTAAAAAATGATGAATAAAATGAATTTTATTTAAATAAAATGGAAATATTTTAAAAAATTAAAATTATTTCAACAAATCGCTTCAATTCCAGTGGCGAACTGGCCATAACCAAGTGAACATTTTGCCCATGAGGCCACGAGAAAATGTCGATTTTTGTAATTTTTTTCTTATCATATTCATATAAAGAATTCAATTAGCTTTAAAATGATAAATGCAATAATATCCATAATAATAATATGCATATTTGAGATAATACAGTTGTTAGGAAAACAAATCCTACAGCGGATCAGATCACAATGAAACACTTATCAATTTTGAAATTATAATAAAATCATTGGAATTTCCTTGAGATGATATAAAAAGTCATAACAAAAAATGATAAAACGATTAGATACCATTTAGAAAAGGCTATTCTTGGTATTTTTAGGAGCCAAAGTAGAAAAGGAAAGCTAAAATTCTCGATGAACCAAAATCCAATGGAAGAAATTCTCTATAATTTTATGTCAAAGAAAACGATTAATAAGTTATTATTGCTATTCTAGGTAAAATTAGAAATTTAATTTTAAAAAGAAAAATAGGTAGCAAACTATTAGTTTGGAAATATATAGTATAAGACAGCAGTTGATCTTGGCGTAAATAATATATCTGGCTAAAGAGGCTGCTAAGTCTCCAAAAAATATATGAAACAAGGTGGTGGGCACATGAAAAAGACTAGATATTTATATGATAAAGAGAGCTTACTCCCGATGGTT